TAATTAGTGCTATACAGTCTCAGACTGCATACCAGCTGTTAAGTTGAGTAAATGTCTTCATTTTTATTGGTTTTGCCCTTTATATCTCTAAATGAGAAACAATAAAGAGATTTTGATTAACTTAAAAAAAACTTAACCTAATTGATATTTCTAAGCATACTCTACCCAACAGCAAAATACATATCCTTTTCAGGTGTACGCAGAAAAGTTACCTATATACACCACATTCTGGGTCATAAAACATTCTCAACGTATGGCATGGGTAACACAATCAATAATATTATAATAACTTTGTATGGTGACAGATGGTAACTTGACTTATCGTGGTGATTGTTTTGTAAGGTATAGAATTATTGAATCACTGTGTTGTGCACCTGGAACTAACATAGTATTGTAGGTCAATTATACTTCAATTTTAAAAATTAGGACTTCCCTGGTGGCACAGTGGTTAAGAATCCGCCTGCCAATGCAGGGGACATGGGTTCGAGCCCTGGTCCGGGAAGACCCCACATGCTGCAGAACAACTAAGCCCAGGTGCCACAACTACTGAGCCTGTGCTCTAGAGCCCGTGAGCTGCAACTACTGAGCCCACGTGCCACAACTACTGAAGCCCGCATGCCTAGAGCCCATGCTCTGCAACAACAGAGGCCACCGCAACAAAGAGTAGCCCCCACTCACTGCAACTAGAGAAAGCCTGTGTGCAGCAAGGAAGACCCAGTGTGGCCAAAAATAAGTAAAGAAATTTATATAAAAATTAAATAAACAAAATATAATTAAACAAAACGTTTTAAATAATTTTAATAGGATTCAAGTCACAAAAAGTATTTTTTCTGACCACAATGGAATTAAATTAAACATCAATAACAGAAAGATATCATGAAAATCCCAAGTATTTAGAAACTAAATAACATACTTTTAAATACTTGTGGATCAATGAGGAAGTCAAAAGAAAAATTAGAAAGTATTTTGAACTTAATAAAAATGAAAGTGTACCAAAATTTGTGGGATACAACTAAAACAGTACTTAGAGAAGGAAATTTATAGCACTCAACATTTATATGAAAAGATAGGCCTCAAATAATGGATCTCAGCTTCCATCCACCTTTGAAAAAACTAGAAAAAGAAGACTGAAGGAAGTTCAAAGTAAGCAAAAGGAAGGAAATAACACAGATCAGAGTTGACATACATGGAAAAAGAGAGAAAATGAGTGAAACCAAAGGTGATTCTTTGAGATATGCAGTAAAACTGTTACACCTCTAGCCAGACTTATCAGAAGAGACACAAATTACCAATATAGAAATGAGAAAGAAGATGCAAATTACCAACACAGGAGTCAGAGATGACATTACTATAGATTTTACATATAATAAAGGCTAAAATATTATGAACAACTTTATGCCAATATATTCAACTACTTAGATAAAATGAATAAGTACCTTAAAAGACACAAATTACCAAAGCTCACTCAAGAAGAAATAGATAACATGAATAGCCCTATATCTATTAAATAAATAAAAAGGTTCCCACAAAGAAGCCTCCAGGCCCAGAAAGCTTGAATGGTGAATTCTACCAAATACTTAAGGAAGAAAGAATATCAATTCTACCCAAACTCTCCCATTAAATTGAAAAGAAGGCTATACTATCCAACTCATTTTCTGAAGCCTGCATTTCTCTGACACCAAAGCCATAGAAAGACTTTCCAAAATTGAAAACCACAAACTAATATCCCTTGTGTATACAGATGCAAAAATTCTTAATAAATTTTTAGCAAATCAAATCCAGCAATACATAAAATGGATAATTCATCATTATTCATGGGGTTTATTCCAGGAATGCAAGGTTGGTTTAGCAATCAAAAAATCAGTGTAATTCATCAATATTAACAGACTGAAAAAGAAAAAAACTATATGATCATCTAAATAGATTTTTATAGAATAAGCATTTGATAAAATACAACATCTATAATTGATGAAATAGAAAACTCTCAGCAAACTAGGAATAGAAGGAAACTTCCTCAAACTGATGAGAGAACCTATGAAAAACCTTCAGGTAACATCATACGTAATGGTGAAAAATTGAATGATATCTCCAAAGATCAAGAACAAGCCTACTGTGACTGCTCTCACTGTCATTAAACTGTATTCAACAGCTTATTAGAGGTTCCAATGAATGTGGTAAGGTGACAAAAATAAACATAAGCATCCAGATTGGAAAGAAAGAAGTAAAACTCCCTCTATTTACAGATGATGACCTATGTAGGTAATCCAATGGACTCTTCAAAAAAAACTACTAAAATTAACAAGTGAATCTATCAAAGTTGTAGGATACAAACTCAATATATAAAAATCAAATGTATTTTTATATAGCAGCAATGAACAGTAGGAAAATGAAATTAAAACAATAGAACAGTAGGATAAACATATGAAATGTGTAGGGATAAGTCTGACAAAAGATATGCAAGACCAGTATACTGAGAACTACAAAAAATTGTTGAGAGAATTAAAGACCTAAATAAATGGAGAGATAAACCATGTTCATGGAGTGGAAGACTCAATATTTTTAAGATGTCAATTCTCCCCAAAATGATCAATAGAGTCAATATAATCCCAATAAAAAAATCCCAGCAGGCTGTTTTGGAAAACAGCCCCTGGTAATTTCTTAAAAAGTTAAATATACACCTACCATATGATTCAGCCAGTCTGTTCCTAGGTATTTCTCCAAGGGAAGAGAGAGCATATATCCAATACAAAGACTTGTACACAAATGTTCAAAGCAGCTTTATTTGTAGTAGACAAAAACTGCAAGTAACTCAAATGTCTATCAACAGGTGAATGGATAAAAAAATTGTGGTAATAATTATATCATTTAATACTACTCTGTAATAAAAATAATGATACATGCTATAACTTGGATGAATCTCAAAATAATTCTGTTGTTTGAAAGGTAACAAAGAGTACATTTTCTATATATATATATATGTATATATATACATATATATTTCTAGAAAATGCAGAGTAATCTATATTGACAGCAGGTCAGGGTTTCCTGGGGTTAGGGAAGGGATATGAAGTGGCAAGGGGGAGGAATTACAAAGGGGCACAAAGAAAATTTGAGGGGTGAAGGATATGTTCATTATCTTGATTGTGGTGATGGTGTATATAGGTGTGTATTTGTCAAAACTTATCAAATTGTATACTTTAAACATGTAGTTTATTGTATGTCAATTATACCTCAATAGAACTGTTTAAAAAAAGTAAGGGAACCAGGGATCCTTGAAGAAATGCTGAATCCAGGGCTGAATGCAGGAAAGGAGGAGATGAAGCTGAAACATCTTCTTGTGCCAGAAAATCAGGTAGTACTCAAAAAATGATGGGAGCATGTCAAGAGGACATGGGAGGGGCTTCCACTGTGTGTGCCTACTATGTGTCTCAAAGTAGCTAATGACAATAATGGGTTAGAACCTATTGGTAAAATAAGAATCCAGGTGTCCACACTAATATAAGTAAATGAATGAAAAAATAAACAAATGGGAAGAAGGAAAAGCCCTTCCCTGGAGTAGAATGTTAACTAGTAAATGTAGACGGAATGATGGAATTAGACCATTGCCTTTGATAACCATCTTAATAATAAATAATTAGGAAAGGATCATTGATGAATGCTAAAACTCCCCACAAGATACTTACTAATTTCAAAGGGAAAAATTTACAGTGGAAAACCTCATAGACACTTCCTTAAGGGCATGGTCAAAGTTGCAATCACATATGATGGGACAAATTGATATCATGTGCCTCCTAAAACAAATCACTGAGAAGAACACAACATCACTTTTGTGGTGTTATTGCCAAAGTATATAATCTCCATATAATTATGATAAAACATAAACAAATCCAAAACGAGGGACATTTTTCCAAAATAACTGGCCTGTAGTCTTCAAAAATATTAAGGTCACAAAAGACACAGGAACTGTTTCCAATCAAAGGAGACTAAAAAGTCATGACAATTATGTGCAATGTGTGAACCTGGTCTGCATCCTGGACCAGGATAAAGGTTTTTTTGTTTTGTTTTCTGTATGGTAAGGGATGTTATTCGGAAAACTGATGAAATTAGAATACCATCTATGGATCAGATACAGTATTATATGAATTTTAATTTCCTGATATTATTTTATTATTGTCATGTAAGAGAATGTCCTTGTTCTTTAGGAAATATCCACCGAAGGGACATCATTTGTGTAACTTATCCTCAAATGGTCCAGGAAAAATCATTGAGAAATATGATAAAATTCTGACATTTGGGGGATCTGGGTGAAGGGTACACAGGAATCCTTTGTACTATCCTTGCAACTTTTCTGTAAATCTGAAATTATTTCAAAACAATGTTGTAAAACATTAAGAGTATTATCTAAAAGAATCAAAACAGTAAGGACAATGTCTAAAATTGGAAAAACAGGTAATGGAAAACTCAATCAGAGTAACAAATGGAAGGAGAGGTAAAAAGAATTAAACAGAAAGTATGGCACAAAGAAAGCAGAAAAAAAAATAATGGCAGGAATACTGCCACATATACCAGCAATGATAATAAAATGAATGCATTACACTCACCTATTAATAGACAGATGTTCTGATTGTTTAAAACCAAGTAACTCAAGATCTTGCTATATTCTATTTAAGAGAGACATACCTGAAACAAAATAACTGAGGGAGGTTGAGAATAAAGGGATGGAGAAAGTTATAACAGGAAAAGGATACTAACAAGAACTACAACATGCAACAAACAGGGAGTGGCAGAAGTTGCTAGCTGTCCTAATCCAAATGTCCTTGGTAACAATGCCAATTTTTAGCAGACAGAGCGATCTGACAGGCCTCCCTGGAAGCTTAGGTGTGGCCACTTGACTAAATTCTGCCAATGAGATGAAAATTGAATTGTTTTCTGGGGCTTTCTGGGAAGGTCACTTATTAGAAATTGGCAGAGCTGGGACCAGCCCATTTTTGCCCTCCTACCTTTCCTCTTCCTTCTGGCCCTCAATGGAGATGTGCTGGCTGGAGCTCCAGAAGTCTCGTGGACCATGAGGGGACCTTAGGATGGAAACCATACACCGAGATGGTGAAGCAGAAGATAGGAGCCTGGGTCCCTGATAGTATCGCAGAGCCCTTGAATACCTATCTCCAGACTTCTTCTACCCAAGAAAAAAATCTTTCTTCTTTAAACTAATTTTATTTATTATTTTTTTCCCAATATATGTAGTTGAACCTAGTCCAAACAGGAATAGTAACATGCTTTACAAAGAAAGAATTCAAGGCATGTATAAATATATGCATAAATAAATGGGACAAAGAGGGCTACTTCATATTTTATGAAGGAAAAATATACCAGGACAATATAAAAGTTATGGACCTTTATACATTCTTTATGCACTAACAGTACAGCTTCAAAATATATAAGGCTAACCCTGACTAAAATATAGGAAATAGACAAATTTAGTTATGATGGGAGGTTTATACATATCTCTCTCAATGAGGAAGGATATAAGGATCAGTATAACACAACTTAACAAGCTTATTCTAACAAGGCTATAAGGGACTTTTACTCAAGAGACAATATACATATTTTTCAATTCATATGAAAAAGTTACAAAAATTGACCATGTTTGAAGTCAGGGGTCAGCAACCTTTTTAATGGAAAGGCCAAACAATATATATTTTAAGCTGTATGGGCCACAGGGTCTCTATTACAGCCACTCAGCTTTGCAGTTGTAGCTGGAAAGCAGTCATAGGTAGTATGTAAACAAATGGGTGTGGCTGTGTTCCAATAAAACTGGATTTCCAAAATAGGCACCAGGCCCATGCGGCCTACAAGCTGTAGTTTGTGGATCCCTGTTCTAGGTAACAGAGGAAGTATCAAAAAATTTCCATAAAGCTGATATCACACAGGCCACAATTACCATAATGTAGTGTTAAAAATGAACATAATAGCAAAAAATATCCCCCCCAACCTGGCCCAGATCTACACACCTGGACGTTTTAAATGCATTTCTAAATAACTCTTGAGTTGAAGAGAAAATAAAAACAGAAAACACAAATGAGTTAGAACTTAAAAAAAAAAAACATGGGAACTACTGTACAACAAAACCTATGTAATGGAGCCAAAGTGAGGAAGAAAATATATGGCCTTAAATGTATTTGTTAGAAAGCAAGGGAGACAGAAAGTAAACTTAGTTTTCATCTCAAGAATTTAGAATAAGGATAACAATAAGAAGAACAATGCAGCAATAATAAAACATACAGAAAATACAATGAAGAAATTAATAAAGAGAAAAGCAGACTTTTTTTTTAAAAGAAAGCAAAGAAATTGAGTTGATCAAGAGAACCTAAAGCGGGCCCTTTGAAAAGACCAACAAAATAGATAAGCCTCTGGAAAGAGAATCAAGAAAAAAGAGAAAAAACAAGTAAACAGCATTAGCAATGGAAAAGGGGACATACTTAAAGAGAGATCACACAATCATCCACTCAAGAAATATTTACTGAATGGCTACTATGTGGCAGGCCATGACACAGTCCCCACAGTCATAGAGACAACAATCTAGTGGAGAGACCATAAATAATGAATGAAAAATTAAATTACATTAGTGATAACTGCTACAAAGAAAATAAAACATTTAAAAAATAAAACTACGTATTTCCTCAAGTCAAAAAAAAATGGAAAACTTAGATGAAACTGACAATTTTCTAGGAAATATAAATTACCATAATTGACTCAAGGAGAAGTAGAAAACCTGAAAAAAAAACAGAAACCAAAGAAGAGATTTAAGTAGTGAGGAAAGATCTACACCCTCAGAAGGCATGAGGCCAAGATGGTTAAGGAAGAGAAATTCCAGTCTGATACAGCCTGTCCCAGAGCATACAACTACTACAATAATAAAATAAAACATAGCTAAAATATAGCTAAGAGAGGAATTTTCTTAAACAGATAAAGAATATCTGTCAAAAATCTACAATAAACATCACTTATTGGTGAATTATTGAAAGCTGTCTCTCTGAACTTGGGAATAAAAAAGGATGCCTAATATCATCCTTGAAAGTCCTAGCAAATTTAGTAAGGCAGGGCTTCCCTGGTGGCGCAGTGGTTGGGAGTCCGCCTGCCGATGCAGGGAACGCGGGTTCGTGCCCCGGTCCGGGAAGATCCCACGTGCCGCGGAGCGGCTGGCAACGGGAGAGCCCACAACAGTGAGAGGCCCGCGTACCGCAAAAAAAAATTAAAAAAAAAAAAAAAATTTAGTAAGGCAATAAAAGGCATGCAGATTAAAAAGGAAGAAATAAAATTGTGATTATTCAAAAATGACGTGTGTTTGTAGAAGATTGTAAAAACCCACACACACTATTAGAATTAATAAGTGAATTAGCAAGGTCACGGGGCATAAGGCCAACATAAACAAATCCATTTAACTCATATATACTAGCAAAAAATAGGAAATGAACTTTAAAAAATTAGGCCATTTATAAGAGCTTTACAGTACTTTTAAAATAAAGATGAAATAGCTAGGAAAAAATCCAAGAGGTACAAGGCCTCTATACTGAAAATTATAACATATTACTGAGAGAAATTAAAGACCCACACAAAAGGAGGGATATAACATGCTCACAGAGTGGAAGACCTCACTTAAAAAAATGTCATTTTTCCCTGAATTGAGCTATAGAATTAAAGCAATCCAAATCAAAACCCCAGCAGGTCTTTTTCCTGTGGATACTGAGAAGTCAAATTCTGCAATTTATGTAGAAATGCAAAGGGCTAAGAATAGCTAAGGCAACATTTGAGAACTACACAGCTGGAGGACTCATGTATTGGGTTGGCCAAAAAGTTCCTTCCATTTTTAAAGTTAAAAATAAAAGACACATTTTTCATTTTCACCAAGAACTTTATTGAACAACGTGTTCACCATTTTGTTCCACTACCTTCTGCCATTTTTCAGGCAACTTCATAACTCCATCTTCCCAAAACTTTTTATCTTTTTGAGCAAAGAACTGTTCCAGGTGCCTTTTACAGTCTTCCAGGGAACTGAAATTTTTTCCATTAAGAGAATTTTTTTAAAGACTGAAACAAATGGAAATCCAAAGGTTCAATGTCTGGTGAATACGGCAGATGAATCAGAACTTCCCAGCCAAGCTGTAATAGTTTTTGCCTGGTCATCAAAGAAACACGTGGTCTTGCATTACCCTGATGGAAGATTATGCATTTTCTGTTTAATAATTCTGGACACTTTTCCTTGAGTGCTGCTTTCAGTGGTCTAATTGGGAGCAGTACTTGTTGGAATTAATCGTTTGGTTTTCCAGAAGGAGCTCATAATAGAGGACTCCCTTCCAATCCCACCATATACACAACATCACCTTCTTTGGATGAAGACCGGCCTTTGGTGTGGTTGATGGTGGTTCATTTTGCTTGCCCCACGATCTTTTCCATTCCACATTATTGTACAGTATCCACTTTTCATCACCCATCACAATTTGTTTTAAAAACGGAACGTTTTCCTTACGTTTCAGTAGAGAATCGCATGTGGAAATATGGTCAAGGTTTTTTCTGCTTAACTTATGTGGAACCCAAACATCAAAGCGATTCACATAACCAAACTGGTGCAAATGATTTTCAACACTTGATTTGGATATTTTGAGTATGTTGGCTATCTACTGCATGGGTGTAACGTTAACTGTTCTCAATTAATGTCTCGATTTGATGGCTGTCAACTTCAACTGGTCTACCTGACCGTGGAGCATCATCCAGTGAGAAATCTCCAGGACAAAACTTCACAAACCACTTTTGACACATTTGATCAGTCACGGCACCTTCTCCATACACTGCACAAATCTTTTTTTGCATTTCAATTGCGTTTTTACTTTTCTTGAAATAGTAAAGCATAATATGCTGAAAATATTGCTTCTTTCTTCCATCTTCAATATTAAAATGGCTACACAAAAATTCACCAATGTTGATAAATTTTTTTTAATGCATGCTGATATGACAGCTGTCACAATGCAATCTAACAAAATTGTTTCAAATGAAGTTAAAGACAACTAAACGCTACTAGAGCCATCTTATGGAAAAAAACCGAATGAATGTTTTGGCCAACCCAATATTACCACATGTCAAGACCTGTTGTAAAGCTACAATATCAAGACAGTGTAGTACTGGTACAAGGATAGACAACAAACCAAGGATAGACCAAGTAAAGAATCCAGAAACATCAACACATAAACAAATGCCTGATTGATGACAAAAAAAAAGGTCTTTTCTATAAACGATTCTGACTCAATGGACATCCGTGTGAAAAAGAAAATGAATCCTGACCCCCTGCTTCAGACCATACACAAAAATCAAATCCAGGTGTATTATAGATATAAATGTGAAAGGTAAAACAATGAAACTTTTAGGTAAAAAGTAGAACATCTGAATGAGCTTCGGGTAGGAAAAATTTTTTTAAACAGAACACAAAGAGCTCCAAAATGGGAAAAAATTATACATATTAAAATTAAGAACTGGTATCAAATATTTGCAAACCATATATCTAATAGAGTTAATATCCAAAATACATAAGGAACTCCTAAACAGAAATAGAGTCACAGATGTAGGAAACATACTTATGGTTACCAGGGGGGAAAGGGAGGGAGGGATAAATTGGGAGATTGGGACTGACATATACACATGATGCCACTTATATGATGTATCTAAAATAGTCAAACTCAAAGAAGCAGACCATACAATAGTGGTTGCCAGTGGATGTGGGTAGGGGAAAGAGGAGTAGTTATTCAATGGGCATACAGTATTGTGCATTTCAAAATTTGCTGAGGGTAGATCTCACATTGTCTTCTTACCACAAAAACAAAGTTATATGAAACAAAACAAAGACAACACAAGGAAACTTTGGAGGTGTTGGATATGTCTATTACCTTGATTGTGGTGATGTCAGCCCTATGCCTGATTTCTATGTAGGTTCTAAATCCTATGTAACCCAATAAAGGCAGAAGCAAAAATTTAAAAGCAGAGTGCAGATAAAACAAGGATAAGGCTCAGGAATTCAAACAGTGCTTCTAGTGAGGACTTTGG